GTCATAAAAAAAAAAAACAGAGAACGGGCAACCGCGGCGGTGGCCAAGCCTTCGCCGGTGGCCAAGCCACGCGCCACGGGAAGGAGCGGCGGCCCTCACCTCGGGCCTTCCCGAGGCGCGGCGACCCTCGCCGGCCCGGGGCGAGCCGCCGGCCTTCGAGAAGGCCCAGGCGAGGGTCGCCGGCCCAGGCGGAGCAGCCGCGAGGGCGTGCGCCTCCGATCTCGGGGCGAGGGTCGCGCTCCTCCCAGATCGGGAGTGCACGCCCTCGCCTAGGCCTTCTCAAAGGCCGGGCGGGGGCGAGCCTGCCGGCGAGGGCGTGCGACCCCGATCCGGGGAGGGCGCGACCCTCGCCCGCCCGTGGGCACACGCGCTCACGGGCCGCCTCCGGCCGAGGCGACCTCCTGGGGCCCTCGCCCGGGTCTCTCGGCGGGAAAGGGGGGGCCGTGCGGCCCGATTAGGGGGAGGGCGCGACCCTCACCTCGGGATGGGGGCCGCACGCCCTGCGGCGACTCCGCCCGAGGCGCGGGTCGGTCGCCAACCTTCCAGGAAGGCCCGACGAGGGCCGCCTCCCTTCCCGGGCGCATTGGGGGGCCACGGCCACGGCCAGTTTGGCCACCATATTTGCCCTGTTTCCGTTTTTGTTTTTTCGAGTGCATTAATTGGGACGGATTTAGTTAACAAAAGCAAGAACTAAATATAGATAAAAGCTTGTGGTTTTTCCTTGGGAGAAAAAAAAGTGTTCAGATATAATCTATGGGACAAAGTGTAAAGTCGAGGGTTTTTTTTGAATTGGGTCATGATTTAATGCATATTGCGTAATGCACCTAAATATTTTCTCGTATAGTCAAACAAAAATTAAAAATAGCCTTTAACTTTCCCGTTAAAATTGTAATTGTTATTTGGACTTTATAAAAATTATGAAAAAATTGCATGCGAAATCACGTGCTAAAAATTATATATTATGAAAATTTCAGATCTTACGGGTAAAGAAAAGTTAAAGTGCATCCAATCGCGAGATTTAGTTAAGCAAAAAGCAAAAACTAAAAAGTAATAGCATATATAAACACGCCTTCGTATCCTTAATAAAATAATACCATCGTTCAAATGAATCTGTTGTGGCACACTCATGAATTGTATTTGAAAAGTCCATCTTGGATAATTGATGTAGTGTGATACTGTATAAATCATTGTTTTAAATTTTTTAACAAATGTGGATCTAACTAAATATGTGAATAGATTCAAATTTGGACTCTTTTGATGATATTATACATAAACTTAATGTAACAAATACATTTACAAATTATTGCAAACGATGATATTACCAATTTATTTTAAATTTAAATACAATTATTATTATTTTTTTCTCGACGCAATGTGACACGAAAATCATCATCACAAGTGACCGAGTCATTTCAATTGTCCAACTTCTTTGGATGAAAAATGAAGGAAGTGAAAGAAAGAATAAGTAAATAAAAGAGTTTTCTTAAAATTGTTTGGAGGTATATGAATTCTCTTTTTCTTTTTTTCTTTTTTTTTGTTGATTGAGTTGTTTGAAAAGAAAAATAAATTGATAGGAAAGAGATTACTGTTTTATGCAAATTTATGCAGATTTTTTTTTTCTTTTTTGCTTTTTCCCAAGTCTTCCAAACTTAGGCTTAAGGGCCCAGCTCTATGCAAATTTATGCAGATTTCTACACTGTGTTCGCTGCAAAATTCGTGCATGCATCGAAGGAAAACAGCAAACAAAATGATTACTGTTCGTTAGGATGTATCCTCTTCTTCTTTGTGATCCAACTTGTCTACCGTACCATAATATTAGCATCAATCTCTCACTATCCGCCCGTCGAAAAAATGACTTTATTTGTATTTTCCGATGCAAAAAAGATTAATAACTTCTAATTATATGGCGGGTTTCTCATTGTTTGGTTAGCTTTGTCACTGTTATTGTTATTGAAGTTTTGAACGTTATCTTTGGTGTGCATATTTTTCTAAAGAAATAAATCGTCATCTTCTTTTGACATCCGATCAATAGAAAAAAATTTCTCTTTACTGGTAAATGCGGGTTATCTTTAGCTTTAATTGAATTATGCGTGCCGTCGAATCTTATTTTTAATAAATTAGCGTCAATTATTCAAATTTTTTATAATTATGTTACTAGATTATTTAAAGGTTTTGCTAGAAATGATGCTTTAAAAAAAGCATGCTTTTTCGTTTTTAATTTGTGTTGTGTCGCTTTTACACCTAGGGGATACGTGCGTTTTGCTTGGATGGGTAAGTTCGATTCATGCACCTTTCCTTGGACGCTTTTTCTTCTCTTTTGAATTTTTTCTTTGACATTTTGGCACGTACGACTCTTGAAAAAATAGACAAGAACTTTTGAATAAAAATGTTAATTCAATATAGAATAGAGTTTACGAAAAATTAAGAAAAATATAAGATAATTAAAAAAACAATGAGGATTTGGGCGGTTCTATACTTGTTAGATTTCAAGAACTTCGCCTAAATATGGAAATGAGTCATTGGACGTCTCAACACAATGCAATTGAATCAATGTCTCCATAGGTATTAAGCATTGGTCAACGGTTCCTTTTGGAGAGGCTCTCGTGATATATAAGATCGTAACAAGTCATAGTTGTGTTCATTTTGTCGTTTGTCAAAGAAAATTTTCGTAATAACTTTTCGATGAACAAGTTGTAACACATCTTATTTGGTTTGTACCGCGGTTTATTTTTGTCTCTCGGAGATCAATCGATCGATCGATGTTTGAGTATAGATCGATCGGTCCCTACTTTGTTCCACCCAATTGATTTGAGCTTACATCACAGTTAATGAGAGCCGGGGAAAATTGAAAATATTTTCGTGGTTCTTGAGATCGTAGCTCGTCGTGAGTGTAGTCATTTTGCCGTTAGTCAATGAAATATGTCGTAATGGTTTTTCCAAGAATTCATTAGAACAAGTTGTGATACATCTATTTTTTTTTTTCATGCCCCAGTTCGTTTTGGCCGTAGCACAATAAGTTCAACAACCTCAAGAGACTGATAAACCAATCTCCAAATATCGGTCATCAATTCTTATTTTGGTCGACCGCTTGCGAAAATATGAAATACTCTTATAATTGCGTTTATTCTCATAATATGAAATATTTATGAAAGTTGTGAAAATATGAAATACTCTTATATAATTGCGTTTATTCTCTCTTAAATCAATGAAAATTCTCATAATATTTTTTCGATGAACAAGACATCATAAGTCGTGATACATTTCATATATGTCATATCACAGTTTACGTTTGTTGTAAAATAATGGATTTTGTCTCAGAGATAGGTTGATCATGTCTAAGTATCGGCTCACCGATTGCTACTTTTTTGGTAGCACAATAAATTCAACGTCAAGAGACTGATGAACCGATGTCCAAGCATCGGCCCGATTCCTATTTAGGTAGTCCATTTGCTTTATATTATCATGATCCACAGCGCTTGAGAAAACTTGAAATACTCTCATGATATTTGAGATTGTAACAAGTCGTAATTGAATTCATTTTAGCAAAAGTTAATGAAAATTGTCGTAATAGCTTTTCATTGAACAAGTTATAACGGGTCAACACACATCTCATTCTATCGTACCACACCCTATTTTTATCGTCAAATAATAAATTTGCCCTTAGAGATCGGTTGACTAAGTCCAAGTATCGGATGCTTCCTACTTTTTCCACCCAATTGATTTGAACCTATTGTGGTTCATGAGAGTTGGACCAATTTGAAAAATACTCATATGGTTTTTTAGGTCGTGCATGTCGAAATTGCAATCGTTTTGTCGTAAGTCAATGACATCTTTCGTAATGGTTTTCAACGAACAAGTCGTAACAAGTTGTAACACATCTAATTTTACCATACCACAGTTTGTTTCAGTTGTAGCAGAGTAAATCGACGTCAAAAGTTTTATGAACCAATGTCCAAGCATCAGTTATTGATTCCTATTTTGGTAGTCCACTTGCTTGTAAATATCATGGTTTATGATTGTTAGGGAAATTTGAAATACTCTCATAGTATTTGAGATAATAACACATTGTAATCGTGTTCTTTTGTTGTAGGTCGGTGAATATACCTGTAATAGCTTTTCAATAAACAAGTTTAAATAGATTGTAACACATCTTATCTCGCCGTATCATAATTTATTTTCTTTGTGAATAATAGATTTGCTCTCAGAGATTGATTGACCATGTCCAAAAATGGGATGGCTTCCTACCTTTTCCACCCAATTATTGAACTTATCATGGTTTATTGGAGTTACGGAATCTAAAAAATAATCTCATGGTTTTTTAGGTCGCAACACTTTATAATTGCAGTCATTTCATCGTAAGTCATGAAATATTTTGTAACGACTTTTCAATGAGCTAATCGTAACAACTCATAACAAATCTAATTTTATCATACCACAATTTATCAAAGTCATTACACAACAAATTCAACCTCAAGACTTTGATCAAGCGATGTCCAAGCATCAGTCTATTCCTACTTTGGTACCCCACGTTCTTTCAATTATCTTGGTTCCTGGCCGTTAGGGAAGTTTGAAATACTCTCATAGTATCCGAGGTCATAACACGTCGTATTTGTGTTCAATTTGCCGCAGGTCAATGAATATGTGAGCGATAGCTTTTCAATAAACAAGTCCTAATAAATCGTAACACATCTCATTTCGTCGTATCACAACTTATTTTATTTTTTCGCAACGACCAACGGGTAAGTTGGCACCGAATTCTCTGAGCCTCCATCTGAGGAATGTCGATCAACATCATTTTCCAACAGCGCCATGTAAATTGATCGTGTGGGTTGGATTGGCACATCACTCGCGTTTCTTCTGACTAATCCGGGCTGGTCAAAGCTGTGACTCGTGTCCACAACATGGATAGAACCGTTGCGAGTCCATCAAAAACCCAATTTGCAGGCACACAAAAACCAGTAAAACCATCATTTGAAAAGCTGATTCCTAGAACAGCAACATTAACACACTCAAACGAAAAACACCTTAATTAAGTTCCAGTAGAAAAACACACGCAAGAAGAAAACTGAAAAAGCCCACTAGAACAACACCTCTAACTAATCACTGTAGTCACCATCTGCAGCAATCCGATCCATGATATTGGCGACCACCTTCGCAGACTCCCTCAACAGATTAATGCTCCTGTTCAGCTTCTCGCGCTTCACCGCCACCGACGGCGCTTCCTCCAGCATCCTCTCAATGCTGCCGCTGCCATTGGGCCTGATCAGCTCGCCCACCATCTCCTTCTCCATCTCCTCGTTCACCAAGTTGTGAACGCTGAACGGCAGATGCAGTGCCATCGAGTCCACGAACCTCCTCAGCACAATCTTCCAGTACGCGGCCATCCTCATCTTCAGATCGAACGCCTGCTGAACCAGCTGCTTGTGATTCCTCAGATGGTGCACGTCGACCGGTCCGATCCCCTCGAGGACCATGTTGGTGGACCTATAATCTTCGTTGATCACCTGCATAAACTGGTACTGCTGGGTCATCAACTTGTTCCACTCTGACAGGTACTCGGGGCTGCAAGTATAACCTGTGAGCTTCTCCATCTCAACAATCTCCATCATCCTATCCGTCGTCTTCTCCCTCATCTTGTGGATCAGATTGGACGCTGCTCTTCTCATCCATGACTGCAGCTGAGGATAATTCTCCGAGTGCCGCATCAACTCCCGAATTACAACCTCCTCAATGTAGTCCCAAGCACGAACCCCGAAACTCGGTGGCATGCTCGATACAGCCTTCACCTTCCGCTGCAAAAGGGTGTGAAAGGCGGTGCGAGCGAGGAAGTTTGGGAGTCCGATCCCTTTAGCCTCTTCCAAGACCTCCAGTTCCTCCAACAAGAAGTTAGTCCGCAGGTCATTCTCGGGGCAGTTTTGGAGCTCATCGTAGTATTGGTTCAGCATCTCCACCAGCCTGGCCGTGCAGTGCATCTTCTTCTCGTCCGGGTATTCATCAAACTCACCTCTCAGTAGGACTTTCCTCAGCGACTCCTTCGCCGACCCCATGATCTGCATGAAGGCAGTCACGGCCTCTGCGACCGAGGACAGATTCTTGGGCATCCTATTAAGCTCGGCGACATTCGCGTTCAGCTTGTCATTGATCTTCTTGACGATACCGGGCAAACACTTGGCCATAATGGTGGCTTGAATCTGCATCAGCTTTTGTGCCAAGACAGGCACACCAACGATGGACTTGTCAATTTTGCACAGCTGAGGGTGCATGTCGAACAGCTTCGCCTCTTCGAGCCTCGCTTCTTCGTAGGACTCGTCACCAATCCTGTTCCTCACACACACATAACCAAGCCCTATATTGACATCATCGGCCGTCACCTTCTCCAGCAAGCCCTCCGGAGCTTTATCGGCCTTTGTCACAACGGCCAGAGTCCTCTTGCCGGTCTTGTCCACCATCTGAAACACAAAATCAAATTATCGTATAGACCCATCTGCTAGCGTTATATAAATCAATCGAGTTCTTAATTGATATGGGAGCCAAGCGTGGCTAGAGTATACTTACTTGCGACATCCTTATGGACTCGCAAGTGGAGAAGTCGACGGTTGCGGACACGACATTGAGGATTATGCTCTCCTCAGGCCTTATGTGCTCCATGATCATCTCCGATATCTGCTCGTAGATGTTCTCGGGCTGGCCGTGCACGGGCACTCTAGTGATTCCGGGCAGGTCGACCATGGTCAAGTCCGGGACGCCATCTTTCTTGACGACTAGAGTCAGTGGGGCATTCGATATGCCCTTGTCAGAGCCGGCGATCTCGTCGGTCGCGGAGACAATGGCATCGCAGATGTGGTCCTCGTTGTCGACGTTCACGATCTTGCCATTGAACTCGAGGTGGAGCTCAGGGCTGTCGGTGGGACGCCGGTGTTGGAGCCGCATTATAAGGGGGACGCGCGTGCAGATGCCCTGCCCGCGTGGCAGGCTGATGCCGGCGAGGGACTCGAGGACGCTTGACTTGCCGGAGGACTGGTCGCCGACGACGACGATGGTGGGGAGCGGGATGCCCTCCTTCATGACCATCAGTTTTCGGAGCTTGTCGACCGCGTCGAGCAGGGGGCGGATGCGGTCGTTGAAGGAGGCGGCCAGTGGCGGCTCGTGGGCAACCAAGAGGGGTTCGGGTTCGGGCTCACGGCGGACAAGAGCTCGGTCGTCACCCATTGTTTGCAGCCTCTCGAAATTTCGTTTTGTTTTTTTTTTTTTTTGGGTGAGTTTGATCGGTGAATAAAAGATGAGAAGTGAAGGTTTCATTTTATAGAAGTTGGAGGTGAAATAACTTCTAAGAGAAGTTGCTTATATTAATATTTTATGGAGGGGTTTGGTTTAGTGGACGACAGATGGTAATTTTATGGAGGGAAAATTCTTTTTTGTACAAAAGTCATGTCATTATTTGTGGCTTTTTTTATTTAAGAGATCGGGGGCATGCTCGTTTATAGTCAAACAAAAATTAAAAATAACTGTTTACTTTCCTGTCAAATTTGTAAATATTATTTGAATTTATGAAAAAAATTGCATACGAATTCACTTGCTAAAAATGATATATTACGAAAATTTCAGATCTTATGGGGTAAAGAAAAGTTAGGGCCCGTTTGGCAAGTTGCCAAATAGTGAAAATTTCTGTTCTTTTGTTCCAAGAATCAGTTTGGGAACAGAAATCCGTTTGTTAAATTTTTTGTGCCCGGGCACAAATTTGAAAAAAATTGTTCCCTTTTTTGAACAGAATCAAGAAGCAAAAAAAAAGTAGCTTCTTGATTCTGGGAACAATTTTTCTATTTCTGAATCTTTTTGATTTTCTTCTTCCTGGTTTGTTGTTCTTTTTCTTCCTGGCCGACCGTTGGCCACCGGCAACCGGCCATAGTCAAGGCCGGTGAGGGCGTCACGACCGCGACGGCAGCGAGGGCCGCGACGTCCTTGTTGACCCTAGCTGTGGCTGGTCGCCAGCGCCGGCGATCGGCCATGGCCAAGGAAGGGAAAGAAAGAAAGAAAAAGGAAAAAAAAAGAAAAAAAATATTAAAAATGTTAAAATATTATTAATAAAAAGAAATTTTGTGTAGTTACCAAACGCATTTCTATTCTTTTTCTATTCTAAGAATGGAAATTTTGTACAGTTACCAAACGCCTTCAAATGCTTAGAAATTATTCCCGGGCACGGAATCAAAAAGAATCATTTCTGAGCAGAATCAGTTCCTAAGCACAGAATCGTTGCCATGTGCACCCTTAAAGTACATCCATCACAAGATTTAGTTAAGCAAAAAGTAAAGACTATAAAGTAATAGCATTTACAAACACACCTTCATATCCTTAATAGAATAATGTTGTTGTTCAATATATCTATTGTGGCACACGCATGAATTGTATTTGAAAAGTCCTCGGATATTTGATGTAGTGTGGTACAGCTAATATGTCACAATTAATGCATAAAATCATCATTTTAAATTTTTTTAATGAATATGGGTCTAATTGAATTTGTAAATAGATTCAGATTTGGAGTCTTTTGATGATATTATACATAAACTTAATGTAACAAATAATTTGACAAATTATTCCAAATGATAATATTACCAATTTGTTTTAAATTTAAATTTAAATACAGTTATTATTATTCTTTTTCTCGGCATGACGCAATGTGACATGAAAATCATCATCACAAGTAACCGAGTCATTTCAATTGTCCAAATTCTTTGGATGAAAAATGGAGGAGGTGAAAGAAGGAATAATTGAAGAAACAATTTTTCTTAAAATTGTTTGGAGGTATATGAATTCTCTTTTTCTTTTTTTTGGTAGATAGGAAGAATATCAATTGAGGTTGGAGAAAAGGTGAAGAATTGTTGATTCGGTTGTTTGAAAAGATAAATAAGTTGAAAGGAAAGAAATTACTGTTCTATGCAAATTTATGCTTTTTTTTTCTTTTTTCCAAGTCTTCCAAACTTAGCCATAAGGGCCAGCTCCATGCAAATTTATGCAGATCTCTACACTGCGTTTGCCGCAAAATTCGTGCATTAATGGAAGGAAAACAGTAAACAAAATGTTACTTTCATTAGGATGTATCATCTTCTCCTTTGTGATCCAACTTGTCTATCGTACCATAATATAAGCATCAATCTCTCACCATTCACCGGTCGAAAAAATGACTTTATCTGTATTTTCCGATGCAAAAAAGATTAATAACTTCTAATTATATGGCAGGTTTCTCATTGTTTCGTTAGCTTCATCACTACTATTTTTATTAATGTTTTTCAACATTATCTTCGGTGTGCATATTTTTCTAGAGAAATAAATTTATATTTGACGTAATAATAATAATAATAATAATAATATACATAAGCACTCCTCTAATAAATAAAAACAACGAATGAAAAAAACTGGAAAAAGGCAACGCAGTTATGACGAGGAATCACTATTCTAAAGATTGAATTCAATTTTTCTCAATCTTTTCCTTCCATTTGAGGGGCACCGAAGATGATCGATTTATTTTTAAGGTAAAATTGGTTGCTTCTTATAAGAAAAATAAAAAAGAATCATATCGAATCGATTATATGCAACATTTTGACTGAGACCGTACATTTTATTTTATCATGGCATGGGGAGACCGTATCAATTAAATTATCGAAAGCAGGAGAGTTCTACAAATCTCACTAGTCCTCAACAAAAAGAAATTATTGGGTAGTCTTCGACCTCCACATTAGTCAAATTTACTTTACTCATTGTTCGCCACAATTATTTCTCAATCGTCGACTTCTTTGGACCTCCCTAAAAAAAATTCTCTATACCGGGAAATGCGGGTTGTCTTTAGTTTTAATTGAATCTTATTTTTAATAAATTAGCGTCAATTATTCCATCTTTTTATTATTATTTTACTAGATTATTTAAAGGTTTTGCTAGAAATGATGCTCTTAAAAAAGCAAACTTTTTCGTTTTTAATTTGTTTTGTGTCACTTTTACACCTAGGGAAACGTGCGTTTTGCTCGGATGGGTAAGTTCGATTCATGCGCCTTTCCTTGGACGCTTTTTCTTCTCTTTTGAATTTTTTCTTTGACATTTTGGCGCGTACGGCTCTTGAAAAAATAGACAAGAACTTTTGAACAAAAACGTTAATTCAATATAGAATAGAGTGTACGAAAAATTAAGAAAAATATAAGATAATTAAAAAAACAAGGAGGATTTGGGCGGTTCTATATAGTCATGGCCACGGGCCGGTTTCGGCCCGGAACCGGCCCGGTCAAACCCAGGCCCGGCCCGGTCAAACCCAGGCCCGGCCCGTTGACCGGGCCCGCGGTTTGGAACCGGAACCGGCCCGTGGCCTACGGGCCCGGTTCCGATTCCAGAAATTTTGGAACCGGCCCGGAACCGCCGGTTCTGGGCCCTGTTCCAAAAAAAAAAATAATTAAAAAAATTTAAAAAATTATAAAAAAAAACCTGCAATAGGGCTTGCACGTCTGCAGGCCTTGCTGCGGCCCGTTGCCAAGGCAGCCTTTGCAGGCTGCCCTGGCAACGGGCAAAAGCCCCAAAAGTAAAAAAATTAAAAAAAAATTAAAAATTAAAAAGATTGCAACGGTTATCTAGCTTTTTTTTTTATCCTAAATTTTCTTCTCATTTTTTTTCTTATAAATTCTCTAAAATTCTCTCATATTCTCTCAATACTCTCAAGTCTCAATTCTCTCAAATTCTCTTCTCTCAAATTTTCTCAATACTCTAAATTCTCTCAAATTCTCTTAAATTCTCTCAATTTTCTCAATCCGCGCAATTCTCTCTTAATTCTCCCAATCAATCCGCTCAATTCTTTCAATTCACTCGAAAAATGGCAAGTGGAAGTCGAGTGCCAACTGGCAAAAGTAAGAATATCATGACGGAATCCCATCATTCTTTTGATCCTCGTGATTATGCAAATTTTCAAGATGATGAAATCAACATTTTTCCCGATGTGGAGCGCGTCCCGACGCAAGAAAGTTTTCATCCTCCTGCCGAAATATCTACAACAAAGGAGGCGGAGCGGGAACTTACATCTGACATTTGGGATCACTTCACGAAAATGGAAAGGTTTGATATTGGTGAAAAAATGTAAGATATAATTTGTAAACATTGTGGGAAAATATATAAATATACAGGTGGACAAGGATATGGAACATTCAAACGACATCTTAGGAGCAAAAATCCAACCCAAGCGGGAATCGATATCAGGCAACAACAAATTTCCGGGTACGTCAATCCTAACACTTCCCCTTTATTTCATTTTAATGGAAAAACTTATAAGGAAGAATTAGGTAAATTTGTTTCTGTTGAGCATTTATCATTTAGTTTTGGAGAAAGATTTGGTTTTAATCAATTTGTACAAAAAGCATGTGCTCCACAAGCAAAACGTGTTCCTAGAAATTCAATTAAACGAATAATTAAAGATATTTACAAAAATGGAAAAAAGGATTTACAAAACTTTTTTATGCAATTTAATGGACGCGTGCATATAGGTAGTGATATTTGGAGTGATCATTGGCAAACGCATTTTTACATGGGCATAACATGTCATTGGATAGATGACGATTGGAGTATTCAAAAAAGAGTTATTGCATTTAGAGTTTTCGATGATAAGCATACGGCAAATAATATTTATAGAATGATTAGGCAAATTTTAGAAGAATATTATTTGCTTAACAAAATTTTTTCAATTGGTTTTGATAATGCCGTGGCAAATATCCCTTCAATTGCCGATTTATAAAATATTTGTAAACCCGCTTTTGGTGGGAAATTTTTTCACGTTAGATGTGCTTGTCATGTTTTAAATTTATGTGTACAAGATGGTTTGAAAACTCTTGATATTTTTCTTGAACCAATAAAAACGGCGATTCAATTTTTATGGAAACATCCCCAAAAAATGAGAGAATGGGGTAAATTTTGTAGAGAAAATGCCAGAAAGCCAAAAAAATTTCCAAGAGATGTTCCAACTCGTTGGAATTCTACTTTTCACTTGCTTGGTGAATCTTATGAATATAAAGATTTATTATGTGCATTCATTTCTAATAATATACCTCAGATTAATTTATACCCACAAGAGTGGTGTATTTGCAAAATTTTTTTAGATATTTTAAAGGTTTTTAATGATGCAACTTATACTTTGTCCGGTGTTTATTATCCTACTACGCATTTATTTTTATTAGAGTGTATTAATATTGTCGGAATTTTTGACGAATATGAAAATGATATTGAATTACAACATACTATAGTAACAATGAAAATGAAGTGGCTACAT